CGGATCACATGTGTCGAGGGGAGGAGGAGCCGCAGGCAGCTGCCAGCTTGCCCTGCTCCCAGGGAGCAAGTCTTTGGGGAAACCAAGGCACCGACAGCTTCAACAGCCTTCGGGCATCTGGCTCCTGCTCCCTGCAGCTCAGCTTCCCCATCGGTCGGGGAAGTTTGGCTGGGCCCAGCCATGCCCCTGCCCTCCCACCAGGAGAGGGAGGAGGAGGAGGAGGAAGAGGAGGAGGAGGACCTCCATACCAGGTTCTCCAGCAGCACCGCCTGATAGGTGATCTTCGCCGTAGCCCGGAGCCCCCTGCGAGCAAAAGGCGAGAAGAGCATCAATCCCGTGGGCACAGCAGGATCCGGCCCGCAGCACCCCAGCGCCAGGGAGCACCCCCTTCCCCGTGGGGACAGGCAGCCCACGCTGAGCCGCAGGCGAGCGGGGCCACCAGGGACAGAGGAACACGCAGGGGAGGCAGCAGCGAGACTCCCCCTTCCCAGCCGTGCCCAGCCCTCTGAGCGACCCTCCCAGTGCCGTGCCTCAGTTTCCCCATCTGCGACACCACAGCAGCAACACTGATTTACCACACAGAAGGAGGACTGAGGGGGTCCTAATGCCGTAGGCGGTGGGGATAAACACCGGCAAAGGCGGTGGAGATGCCGGTGTCGTGCTGATCATCAGCCGGTCTGGCTAATTTGTACTGAGAGTCCTAAAGGGCTTGGCCAAGGCCACTGTCAGTCCCTGCCGCCGCGTGGGGACCCGTGGAAGGGCTCAGGCTCTGAGGAAGGTGGTGGACCCGACTCACACCCTCCACGGAAACACGTGTCTCAGCCACAGCTGGCCTCCGCACAGTGCGAGCTCGAAACCAGCCCAGCAAACGCGATGTGCTGTGGGAGAAGCCCCCTCAGGGCAGCCCCTGGCTGTCACAGCCAGGCAGGGGACCAGGCGCAGAGCTACAGTCTCGCCCAGCTCCCTCCCGCTGCCCCAGCCCGTACCGCAGCAGTGCTCCCAGCAGCTTGGTGACGTTGTCCGAGGACTGGATCACGATCACAGGCTTGGCGAGAAGCTGGGAAACGTCCAGCTGCACCGGAGAGGAAAGCAACTGCTGTCAGCGGGGCACGAGACCGGCTCGGGGACCCGCCGCCGGGACTCTCCTACCTCCCGGATGGCGTTCTGGTTCAGCGCCAGGATGAGCAGGGCCGACGCCCCCAGCACCAGGGCTCGCTTCATCTGCGGAGACAGAGGGCGCAGGCTCAGAGGGCAGGACAGACAGGAGGACGGGCAGCTGGGCCGTGCCCTCGTTCAGCTCCCGTCCCACTGCAGGGAGCAGGCAGCCCCCGGTGCCTCTCTGCCCTGGCTGAAGGGCAAGGAACCCAAGAGGGGCTGGCACTGCCCGGGAGGCCTGTCAGGGACGCCCCTGCCACCAAGCGCAGGCCAGGATCCCCCACATCTGGCGCGGAGATGCCCCAGGAGGTGCCTTGCGGGCTTGTGACCAGCAAACGCCATGGCAGCCCCTGGGCCAGACGGAGAGGGCCCCGGGCCGGGTGGAGAGTCACCTTACTGACGACGGC